ATACTGGCCATTTAAAGGATTGATAGGACTTCATTTTCCCATTAGGTATCCCATGCTAGTTCTGCTCAAATCAGACCCATTGAAAATAATGGATGTGGCCAACTTAGGTATGTTAAATTAAATTTGTCTACGCTTGAATGTAACTGAGTAGGATACAACCCAATGGCATGAAACATCTCCTTTGTAGGAGATGAAAGTGTAGATGTAGCAAATGAATAAAAATGACCAGCAAAGAAGGAAACTAATGCAACCTAGTTTGGTGTTAGCAGTTGGCAATGTTGGGCATCTGCCAAGGCTCATACCCCAGCAGCAGGGCTGGCCCCTTTTGCCGCTGCCTTTGCCATTACCAGTGGGATGGCCCCCTCTTTCTTTCCCTTCCTCACTCTCTGCCTTCACAGTATTGGCTGGTGCTGAGAGTATGAGCTGATGCCACCTCCTTTGCTCCTTCCTAGCCAGTGCTGGGTGCAGGAGTTGCCACTGGCCACTATATTCTGATTGGCCCTGGCTGGAAGGGGCAGGGGTGCAACTGGCTGTGGGAGGCAGTAGCTTGCATGCTTAGCACTCATTGATGGTGGGAAGGGAGGAGAGAGAAGCTGCAGCAATCCAGGAGGAGACGGAGATGGCAGGAGCTGCACATAGGGTGCAGGGCACAGGGGACTTGCTACCAGCCTTTTGCTGGTGATAAGTCAGACCTGGAATAATCTGTATAAATACACCAGTGTGGAGTTGTGGCTAGAGTGTTGGACCAGAACCTGAAATACTAGGGTTCAAACCCCCACTAGGTCAAGGGGATTGATATTGGGCTAGTCACTTAGACTAACCTACCTCACAGGGTTGTTGTGAGGATAAAATGGGGAGGGGGAGAATCAGGTGTGCCACTTTTCAGAGTTGCAATAATAAATTAATCTGAAAGCGAAAGATTTCTTGCAGCTCTGTGCATTAAAGGTGGCTTCTCCTTGTGATGAGTGCGTGGCACTTGTTTTCTTGTTAGTTCTTAAGTTATCTCACTGAAAGGGAAACGATCCCCTTCCCTTTAAGGAATCTCAGAAAGGCACCTTCCTTCAATGTTAGCAAGATAATTAAGGGGATAATTAATTAGCTGGTGGGTCCTGCTCTACAGTATAAGGCAGTGAGTTTGCACTTAAGGCTGCTGAACTGTGGATACCATAACTCCTAAAGACAGCCTTTGCCAGCCTGGTGCCCTCCAGATATTTTGGTCTACACTGGCTGTGCTCGCTGGGGCTGATGGGAGTTGTAGTTTGAAAACAACTGGAGGGTACCAGGTTGGCAGACACCGCCAAAAGAGCTGGAAGTCCTTGAGGGGTGTTGGAGCATCTTTCCAATTTTTTTTAAAAAATGCTAGTTCTGTTTCGTTTGTTGCTGTGTGGGATTATTAGTCTTGGCTACTGAAAGGAAAGTTCAGCCCTGGCTGGCTGTTAGTTTTTTGTTTTGTATGTCGTGCTCAAATAGAAAATACTCCATCCCTGATTTTCAGTTCATAATATGAAGCCCCAGATTGGAGCCTCGCACCTGCAGCCCTGGTCCCTGAACTCTGTCGTGTCCGTCTCTGTAATTTTTAATAATTTTTTTTGTTCCCAATCTACATCTCTGCAACCTGCCACTCCCTTCTCTTAGAGCTACTTTCCTTGGATTAAATTTCTCTCCCCTCACTGTGCATTGCCAGAGTTGCAGAGAGAGGCATTCCTCATCCCTGCGGAGAACCTGATACAGGGGGCACCGCTCATCAGTCTTGCGTTCCCAATACTGTTTCGCTTTCTAAAAAGGCCCGTACGTACGAGAGGGAGTTGTTCGTAGTCTTTATGTTTGAGGTTCAGAAGCATTGCAACTGTAGAGAGTTTCATGTCTCTCCTCTCTCTCTCTGCTGGGATGGTGGGGGTGTTTCTGGCAGCGGGTCTTCATCTTTAATTGCCTCCTCCTTAGCCTAGTCTGTCACCCACAGAGAGGGCTCAGTAGCTGAGAATTCCAGATCATTTCCCCATGTTGTGGAGAGGGAAGGGAAGGGGAGTTGCTCCCCTGCCCCATGAGTCAGTCCTTTTTTAAAAGGTGGGATTAGAAGCTTAGATTTAAAACTTCCAGCTGGCCTCTCCATCCTCTCTCCTAAAGTGAACAGAGAACTTCAGCTCCTGTGCACCATTTAACAAATGCCCTAGCACAGTCATAGGCAAACTCGGTCCTCCAGACGTTTTTGGACTGGAACTCCCATCATCCCTGACCACTGGTCCTGTTAGCTAGGGATGATGGGAGTTGTAGTCCCAAAACATCTGGAGGGCCGAGTTTGCCTATGCCTGCTCTAGTATCTCCCCACTCCACACCTTGCAGTTAACACATATTTATTGGTCCCTGGGGTATATTGTCTATGCTTTTGAAATGAATTATTTGCAGGACAGGGAGTTCTACACAAGGCTTGGAAAGGGCCAAAAGGGGAGCATAGAGCATGAGACACTTAATCTCAGGGTTGTGGGTTTGAGCCCCACATTGGGCAAAAGATCCCTGCATTGTAGAGGGTTGGATTAGATGATCCTGGTGGTCCCTTCCAACTCTACAATTCTTTGATTCCACTTTTAAGTCATGGCTTTACTGCAAAGAATCTTGCAGACAGTCGTTTGTGAAGAGTGCTGAGAGTTGTTAGGAGACGCCTATTCTCCTCGCAGAGCTACAGTTCCCAGAGTTCCCAAGGAACAGGGATTAACTGTTAAACCACTCTGGGAATTGTAGCTCTGGGAGAGGAATAGGGGGTCACCTAATGAGACCTTTAACAAACTACAGCCCCCAGAATTCTTTGGGAGAAGCTGTGGCATGGTACTGCTTTAAATGTGCAGTGCAGATGGGGCCCTTGGTGTGCTGACCTGTATTCGTTATAGCCTGGTTGCAACCCAGCATTGCGTCATAATTAGGTTTGAAACAAGGGCTGCTTGCAGCCCTTACACCTGTCCCTGCGTGGGAAGAATTGCTTTGTGGCTTCTGTGGGGGAGGGGGGAAAAACTGGTTAGTACAAAGTCCTGCCATAAGTGAACCAAGATGGACCAGTAGTATCAGCTGCAGGCCCGATGGGGTAGGAGATGGTAGAAGGAACATGTACTGAAGCAGCCGCAGTATTTGTAAAGCAACCATTGGGTTTTACCAACCCCTGCCCCCCATTTCCTATAGAGACTTTATTCCATATATGAATAGTTGGGTTTGTTTATTAGTTTGATATGGAGTTCTGCAGGGAACCAGTATGGCAGGCATCCCCAAACTCAGCCCTTCAGCTGTTTTGGGACTACAATTCCCATCATCCCTGACCACTGGCCCTGTTAGCTAGGGATGATGGGAGTCATAGTCCCAAACCAGCTGGAGGGCCGAGTTTGGGGGTGCCTGCAGTATGGTGTAATGGTTATAGTGTGGGACTAAGACTGGGAAGATGCCCTATTCAAATCCATGCCCATGCCCAGGCATGAAGCAGAATGTGGGACTTTGATCTGTTTTTATCTCGTAGAGTTGTTGTGAGAATGAGGTGGTGGTGGGGATGCGTGCCGCTATGCACTTCTTGGAGAAAAGGTGATACCAATCTGTAATCAATAATCTCTGAAGCTATACAGGTCTAGTCCTGGCCAGTAGCCCCCCCCCTTCCTCCAAATGCCATTCTGAGCTTAATGGATAGGATAAAACATCACAAACACAAACTCCAAAGCATAGGTGAATTTATTGTTTCTGTCTACTGGGCAGTGCAGGGTGCTTCCAGACCGTTGCTGTTATCGGGATACACTGATAAATTCAGGTTATCCAGTAAGTGTTGATTTGACACCCTCACTCAACACACCTACTCCCTTTCTTCCACTTACCAAAATAGGACTTTTCTAAATAAGGAAAGTGAGGAGGAAATGCACTGGTAAGTGTGATAGAACAATTGCTTTACAGAACATTGTCTCACCTTCTCGCAAACAAATGGACAATAAACACCTGGTGTGGTGTAGCCAACCCACAAACTTTGTGCATACAAATGCTCAATCAACAGGTCACCAGAAGGGACCAAAGGCTCTGGCAGTTTTTTTTTAAAAAGTGCCATCTCTTTCTTAATCAGAGCAATCTTGCTGAAGCAGTGAGTTTGTGGGTTGCAGCCTACACGATTTGTCCAGAGCTTGTAGACCTTGGCGTCAGCAGTCCTCCTCCTTCAGCTTTTGGCCTTCTTCTTTTGTGACTGTAAAGCTTTACTAGCAGGAAGTCCTCTCCGGTATGCAGTTCTGGGTCGCAGGCAGCCTGAGGTTTTCCGCACGCCACTGTCCCCAGCTGTGGGTCTTAGCGCTGCTATGCTGCACACGTGTGCCAGTAGTGCTTGCTGTTTTCCAGTGCTGCACGGAAGGCCCCATTGACTGACAGTTCTGCTTAATTAGGGAGTTGTTATTTTATCAATTCCAAAGCGCTTGAAGTTTTATGCTCCAGCTCACGCGTTCCACTTGTTAATGGGAAACCAACACCCTCTGTCAAAGAAGCAGCGGCTCTGATGCATTTTAAGGTGCTGTTTGTGCCACTTTGACATCCAAAGTATAACAATAAAGCTATCAGCTGGTGGATGTCTGCTTGATGTAGGTCTGACAGTGCCAAAAACCTTAATCTCCAAGCCTTCCCACTTTTCTTTCTCTCTGTACTTCTTAGGGCTGCTCCTTTGTGGCATGAATATAAACTAGCTGGGTGGCCTTGGTGCTTTAAGCTGAGGAGTGTCCTGTCTAGGGCTGGGGGAGGACCCATCACTCACCTACGGTTGTGCCCAGCCTATCTCTTTACCATGGCTTATAATTACTGCTGCAACATCCTTGACTAACCAGCAGTACTTCCTCTTGCTATTGAGCAAGACAAGGAATAGGCAAACTCGGTCCTCCAGATTTTTGGGACTACAATTCCCATCATCCCTGACCACTGGTCCTGTTAGCTAGGGATCATGGGAGTTGTAGTCCCAAAACAGCTGGAGGGCTGAGTTTGCCTATGCCTGAGCAAGACCATATGGAGGGACTGTAGCTCAGCAGTAGAGCATCTGCCTTGCATGCAGAAGCTACCAAGTTTGATTCCTGGCACCTCCAATTAAAAGGCTCAGGTAGCAGTTATTGAGAAGGACTGTCCGTATGTGACTGCTAGTCTAGTGTAGACAATACTGGGCAAGACGGACAACTGTCCAACCCGATGGACAGAAGCCAACTGGCTTCTGGTGTCCCTGTGACCCTGTAATAGGAACATTCACAAGAAGCGAGTTAGCTACTTCTCTGCTGTTGGGCACCAGGTTGAAATGGGCTGTCTTTTTATCTCCTTCGTTCCTTTTGTCCCTCGCATCAGAGCAAAGGAGCATGGGCAGCCGGTAATCTGTTGCTTTCAGAAAGAAAATAAGCACACAAAACCATGAATCATGGGGAACATTATGCATCATGTGGACAAAAAGAGCAGTAGCTGCTGCTGGTGCAATTCAGGGGCAATTTACTTGTGGGGAAGAAACGTACCTATGGACTGTACAAGCAACTGGGCAGCAATGCCCCCCCATGCTAGGTATGGATGCCACAAGATAAATAACAGTTTTTGCAGAATAGAAAACTGCCCCATGACAGTTTAAAAGACACACAGTTTGGCTGTGGGTTAAGCCTTTGTGGGTTAGGCCAGCTTTCACCAATGCATACTTCTTCAAGGTTTGCAAGTATTGGGACTACTAATTCCTGTGCCTACAGCGTGTGAAGCACTACAGGAATGCCCCACCCCCTGCCAAGCCTTCTCTTGCAGTAGTCATGATTGCAATGCTACTGCAGTGTGTTGAAAGTGGACAAGCTTCTGGAAGCGCTTTTGTATGGGGCTTAAAGCCGTTCTGGCTTCATCCACTTTGTCATTTGGCCAGAAGGATAAATTCACATTACAAATACCCTTTCTCCACTTTCTCGTCTGTGTGAATAACGATCCGATGGTCACTTAAATGGTGTAAAGGAGGCTCAGCAGCGCAACCTTATTCATGTTTATTGGAAATAAGTCTTGCTGTTTCCAGTGGGGATTGCTCCTAGGTAAGTGTGCATTGGATTGCAGCCCACAGCCAATCTAGAAGCCCCACTGGTACAATCGGATCTCAGCAGTCGGTCCTTCTGTGGGGTTTACTCTGGAGTAAAAATGCATATAATTGCAGGGAAGGAAGGGAGGCTAATGACTCATCTCGCTAGCCATTTCCTCCTCTCTGTACCCATCCCTGTTCCTTAAGAGAATAAGCAAGCTTAGAAATACCACATTGCCCATCACATAAGTAGACCAAAGACCCATCTAGTCCAGCATCTTGTTCTTACCATGGCCAACCAGGTGCCCGTGGGAATCCTGCAAGCAGAACCTTTGCACAACAGCGCTCTCCCCACTTGTGATTTTCAGCAACTGGTATTCAGAGGCATACTTCCTCCAAGAGTGGAGGTAGACCGTAGTCTTTTCCTCTATGAATTTGTTAATTCTCCTTTAAAGCCATCCAGGTTGGTAGAAGTTGTGGGGGAGAATTCCATAGTTTACACCCCTGGTTCTACCCAGTTCTTTTGGGTGCTTGTCTTTTTAAACTTAAGCTTATATCTCCCATCTGTACCGCTGTGGTCTTGGCTCTCCTAACCTCCATTAGAGGAAATATCACGCAGGCGTCAGAAGGGAAGGCGGATGTACTCCTCTTTGCATACTTGAAAGCAGCGTTTCGGCCTTTGTCCTCTGTCTGAAGGGTTGCTTCATCTCTCAAAAGTGTATGTAGGCTGTGTACAAAAAATCAAAGTGCATGACTTTCCCCACGGAATCCTGGGAATTGCAGTTAAAGGGTGCTAGAATTTTAGCTTGGTGAGGTGTAAACTGCAGTTCTCAGGACTCTTTGTGGGAGAATCATGTGCTTAAAATGTACAGTGTACCTGAATATATATGTTGAGTTTCATTGAGTGCCAGCTCTCGGAGCTGTACCAGCACTTGCATTGCCTCTAAGCTCCTCTTAAGGTAAGCCAGTTACTGCCATTCGTCTTAAAAGTATAGACTGTTTCAAAGCCAAAGCTCTCAATGCAGTTAACAAACATGAAGCAGTATTGCTATGAAACAGGGACATAGGCAGCTGCCTTATGTGGAATCAGACCATCTAGCTAAGCAGTGTCTACTATACTGAGTAGAAGCAGCTCTCCAGAGTTTGAGGTAGGCGTCTTTCCCAGCCTTGTGGGGAGACACCTGGGATTGAACCTGGAACCTTTTGCATTCAGGGAAGATGCTGTATCACTGAGCTATGGCTTTCCCCCAGTCCTATCAAACCAGAGCTGGGCGAGTGCTAAAGATTCACCAGGCAATAGCACCCAAGCCTAGCTCATGCAAATGTGCTTTGAAAAGGAGTTCTGTACGCCAGCTGCTAAATCTATACATAAAGAGAGGGCAGGCAGGCAGATCTGGTATTCCCTGGGCAGGGAAAGTAAGGTTTCTTATCTACCAGTTGAAAGTCTCAGTAAGATTGCTTTTATAGCTGTTTCTCCAAGGTACAGAAGTTCAAGCTTCTGTTGATGCATATGAACTCAGTGTGCTATCAGCAGGTTTCCTATTCTTAAACTAGATCAAGGTCAACGGCACTTTGCATTGTGCCAGGAAAGTAAGTGGTAGCCAGTGCAGATATCTAAGCACAGGTTTGTGCAGCCAGCTGCAATCATGAGTCTAGCCACCTCTGGACCAGGAGATTCTTAATCTCGGGGTTGTGTGGGTTCAAAACCTACCTTGGGCAAATAGATTCCTGCCTTGCAGGGGGTGGGATTAGATGACCCTTGTGTTCCCTTCCAACTCTACAATGCTATGATGCTATGCTATGCTGTGATTCTATGAACCTGTAATTCCTGAACAGTCTTTAAGAGCATCCCCACATAGGGTGTGTTACAGTAGTCTAATCTACTTGTGTTGGTGTGTATATCACAGATGCAAAGACTCTCCCCAAGTTCAAAAGTGGCAATTAGACTGTGTGAAGGAGACTGTTGCACTCAGTGGTCTAAGGCTTTGTTCACACATGCAATTGCATTTACTTCCACAGTCGTTAGTTACCCAGTGTGTCACCCAAGGCTGAAAAAATCTTAGATGGAATTTCCATTTCTGTTAATATCACCCGAAGGGATGGGCTTATAGGGTTCAGAGGCCTCAGAAGAGAGGGCTGCTTGTATCAGCAACTCACCCACACATCGAAAGGATGTTCCTTTGCCTTCCGGCATGAGCTTGAAATGTGCATGCATATGGATAATAAATTTGTCTTTTTGCAGTGCTTGTTCCTTGCTGATAAGCCAGGGCTTCCTTGCAGCTCTTGCACACCTTGGCTGGACCTTGTTTATCAGAGAAACCCAGTACTTGCTTTATATGACCAAAGGAAGCCTGGTGTTGCTAGCACTCAGTGGGATGATGGAATGAATTCTTTCATGCACGGTGGTAGAACTCGGCAGGGAGGAAGATGGAGACAAAACTAGAATTAGTTAGCTTTCCCTGCCATTGGCTCTGACTTTACTTACTGTTTGGGCTCCCTGCCTTTTGCCCTTCCAGTCCAAATGTGCCTCAGCCACCACTGATTCTACTCCCCTCCTTTTATCCTCATGTTTGAACCTGAGTCTCCCCAGCCCTAGCCCTAACCACTAGGCCATACTAGTTCTCAGCATGTATATACATTGGGGAAAGGTTTTGACCACTGGCACTCATTCTCAAATGCAATCATTGGAGCAGGGCAATCGGGAATGTTTGGAGGCAGACAGAAAGCGGAGGAAGGGCATGAAGGATTTCAGAGCATCCATTTGCACCAGAAGTGCCTTGCTTGCATCATTTTTTTAATTGCACTCTTCCCCATTTTGGACTACAACTCCCATCAGCCCCAGCCAGCGGGGGGGGGGGAGGCAGTTTTACTGTACTGTACATTGCATGCTGTACTATACATTGTATAGAGCACAGTGCTGATAACACCAAGGTCATGGGTTCGATCCCCGTACAGGACAGCTGCACATTCCTGCATTGCAGCGGGTTGGGCTAGATGATCATCAGAGGTCCCTTCCAACTCTAGAATTTTATGATACCATTATGAGAAAAAGCAAGGTAAAAACCTTCTAAATAAACTGAAGGAAGGGAGAAACTATCAGCACACCTGTCTTTTTTTGGAGGGGGGAGGGGGCATGGTGAATTGTAATAGAAACGGTATTTTTTTTTTGTTCAGGGGACTCCTCTGCAACAGCATTTTGGGCAGGAAGATTTGGCTAGACTGGGGGAAAAAATGGCATTCTTCCTTCTTCCTCTCCTCCGTTAGGTTCTCATCTTCTTACTTTTTTTTTTTCCTTTTCACCTTTCTGGAATTGCTTTTCATGCAGTGCTAACTGCTGAAGTAACACAAACCTGCTAAATGGTCCAGCTTTATGATAGCATAAAAATGATACTGCAGCAGTGAGTAGAGTTTTATTAAACCCCAGGGACCGGCTGCAAATGAACAGCTTGCTCTGCTCTTCACTTTATTTATTTATTTAATAACTGCTGGAATATAAACTACATCTGAGATTCTGTGGACTAGGAGCACTCTCAAGTCACAGCACTATCCGTCACCACTCCCAGATGCTCTCTCTCGCTCTCTCTTTGGCTTGTTCTTTCTGAAGAAGCTCAGCACGGGTGTCGGGTCCTTAGACTGGAGAATGGCGTTCTCGGCGTTTGGGATACTACTTGGAACTATTTCACACTGTCTCACGGACACACATAAGTCAGATTTCATTCGCTGACAAATCTGGGCAGGTAGAAGTGAGAAGATGCCAAGTCCTGCCTGGTTTGAACATCAGGCAGTTTCTCTTCACTCTGGTGGTGGTAGTCTTCCTTTCCTCTTGTTGGACCTTGTGAGTCTTTTACTGACAGTAAAGGTAAAAGGACCCCTGACCATTAGGTCCAGTCGCAGACAACTCTGGGGTTGCGGCGCTCATCTCGCTTTACTGGCCGAGGGGGCCGGCTTACAGCTTCCGGGTCATGTGGCCAGCATGACTAAGCCGTTTCTGGCAAACCAGAGCAGCGCACGGAAACGGCGTTTACCTTCCCACTGGAGCGGTACCTATTTATCTACTTGCACTTTGACGTGCTTTTGAACTGCTAGGTTGGCAGGAGCAGGGACTGAGCAATGGGAGCTCACCCCGTCAAAGGGATTCGAACCGCCGACCTTCCGATCGGCAAGCCCTAGGCTCTGTGGTTTAACCCACAGCGCCACTCGCATCCCATTTACTGACAGTAGGCTCTGCTAATGATTTATAGTGAGTCTCCATTGCTTAGTGCCAGCAGGGGAGAGTGAAGAAACTCTCACAGGGGCATGGATGGTAGGGAGCGCTCAACTCCTTCACGTGTCATAAATTCCAGGTAACAAGAAGTCAGATGTCATGAAACTGGAACTGGGTTACCAACCCACCCTTTTCCAATTGGAAAAGATCTCACAAATCGTGACTGCTGAAGCTTGTGCTCAGTTGGCTTCTGAAGTGGAGCTGTTTTATTTTTTGTTTTATTTTAAAGGGGTGATTTCTCCCCAGTTTATGCATTAACCAGGGAGCTGTGTCCCACAGGACTGCAAGACTCCAGAAATCAGGGTTGGAAGAAAGGCATGAAACAGTTATCAATAATCTCATGCTGATTGGAATACAGGAAGCTCTTTATACCAAGTCAGAGCATTTGTCCATTTACACCCAGTAACGTAGATGTTGACTGGCAGTGATTCTCTGGGGGTTTCACTAGGATGGCCATGTGCCCTACTTAGGGTTGGGGAAGAAATTTGTGTCAGTTTGCATTTAAAGGGGAACTTACCTAATTTGCACTTTCCGAAACTAGATGTGAACCGAAAAATAGCCCCCCCACATTTGAAACCTGCACTTCTCAGAACATTCTCCAGCCACGTGTGTGTGTGTGTGTGTGTGTGTGTGTGTGTGTGTAATATTTGTGTAAAGGGTGCATGCAAATAACAATAAAAATGCCATATATTATGCAAAATTGCTTGCAGACATGCACATTAGGGGGGAAATTTCCTGATGAATTTTCCTGAGAACTTTTTTTAATTTTATTAAATGCAAACTGATGTGGAAATGTGGAGAGCTGAATTTAGGATTAGAAAAAGGAGAAACAGAGACAAACAAAAATGGACAGATTTGCTCATCTCTGGTCCTATTTTCAGAGTCAAGTCCCCTATTGGAAGGGCTTTCTGGGGACAAATCTTTTCTTTAAGGGCTGTCAGCCCAAGTCTGGTTTAAAGATAAAGAACTATAAGGAGGAAGAGCAGCAGGAGCCTTGAAGTTATTGCCCAGGTTATTGGGTCGCAGCCTTTCGCACTGTGGTGAGATGCAGGCAGTCACTTATACATTGTCTCCCCCCCCCCAAAAAAGAGGATGCAGATCTGCATGTTTTTTTTAAAAAAAATATGTTGACTTGTATTTATTATTTATTTAAACAATTTTTACACATCCTCACTACAATCATCTCTAAGTGGTTTAACAAAGGTACATTATAGCAAAAATAAAAATCAGTTAAAATTCTAACATCGGCCATCAAATAAAATGCCTGCTGGAATAAAAAGAAGTCTTCAGCAGGCAGAGGGAGCCTGCCTGACCTCAACAAGAAAAGAGTTCCATAAAAATTGGGCCCACGACGCTAAACATATGGCTCCTGGTGGATGTGACCCGTGCATCTGAGTCATGGGGGAACCACTCACAGCACAGACTTTTGAGCACTGGAGTTATGTGCCGGCGATAGCCTGTTCCCACCAACAGTCTAGCTGCAGTGTTATATGTGCAGATTTATTTATGATTTATTTCATAAAATTTAAATACCGCTTGGTTGTAAGAGAACGTCAAAGAGATTTGCAAATTTAGACAATGTTTACTGTAAGTAGAACTGCAATTGCATCTCACCATTGCAGAGAAGTCTAAGCCCTGGTGCTTGCTTAGCCAGCTGCTGTCTAGGCGCTCCCTGCTGATGGGCAACTTCAAGGCCTCTCTCATTCCCCCTTCATATATATGTATTTAATCATTAAAACTGGACTTGGACCAGGCAGCCCTAAGAGCATTCCTGCTATTGTTCACCCCTTGCAAGCAGTTAGTATTCATTGTCATCCTGTCTCTGAGCATCTTAATACAATCCATCTTCAAATGTGTGGTCCACCTCATCATTTCCTTCTCACAACAATGCTGTGATTGCGTACGCTGAGTTTGTGTGTATGTGTGCATGTGATTGGACCAAGGCCACCCAGTGAAGTTCCTGTCCAAGTGAGGATTTGAACCCAGATCTCCCCAGCTTAAAAGTGTCTAGCTGTTAAATTTCGCTGGGAGGAGCAGCTTGCTGGGTGGAGTGGAGATGCTTTGCTAGATTCCTAGTAGCTGGGTTGCTGTTGCTTACATTCACACCATGCTACCTTGTCCCATCTTCTCCTGGTAATAACAACAACAACAACAACAACAACAACAACAACAACAGCAGCAACAACAATGCCACCAATCTGGCTGGGTTTCCCCAGCAACTCGGTGCAGGCTTCCAGCAAAATATAAAAACACACTAAAACATCAAACATTGCAGCTTTGTGGGCTGCACACCACTTGACTGGCATTGCATTTAAGATGCAAAAGCTGTTCCCCATGGAGGGCTTTCTGGACTTCCTTGCCAAACCTGTCACTCATCTGCAGTGAAACAGATGTCCATCTTGCTCAGTATTGTCTACACTGACTGGCAGCAGCCCTCAAGGGTTTCAGGCAAGATTCTCTCCCAGGCCGACCTGGAGATGCCGGGATTTGAACCTGGGACCTTCTGCACGCAAGGCATATTCTCTTCCACTGAGCCATGGTCCTTCCCCTCTCACTTGTGGGCCCCATCCCTTTTTATTAGCTAGTTGGTTTATGTCCCCTCTCCCTGTATACCCTGAACTTTTCTTCTGCTGTGGAAGTTACCTGCATGCTACAGCTGAGGTGAAAGGCAGTTTAGGTTATGGAAGGACACTTGGAGCCGTTTTGCCCATGTGCCGCTGAAGCTCATTTTGGACAGCATCTGTTCATTATTACGTGCAGCCTTGGCAGCTCGCCAGCAAGGAGAACTGAAAGCAAGGCACAAAGATTGCTTTCACCCACTGGAGGGGAAATGGCTGAGGGGAGGAGGGTGAGGAAGACCGAGGGTGGTGGGATTGGAAGTGGAGTGAGAGGCAAGTGGTGGGAGGGAGGGGGGAAATACCAGCATTCAATATTTATAGCTCAGCGAGGCTGTGAGTCCCCCGCCAGGATCAGAGGGACGCATTTGCCAGGTGCTCCCCAGGCACAACAGAGGCATTTATCAATCCCCCGAGAAGGGAAAACCCGGATTTCTAGAACAGTGTGTGTACGTTTCTACGAAAAAGGGAGAGGCTGCAACCGATGCCTCATCTACAGGAAAAAAAGGAGAGGGGGAAAGCCTTTTTCTTCTTCTGCAAATGGGGTCTGTTGCTCACAAACAGCCAAGTGATGGGTAGTATTTTCACCAGAACAACTCTTACTCCCCATCCCATAGCTTGCAGCCCCCTGTGATTCCCCCCATCCTTTTTGCCAGTCATCTTTTCCATGCCACAACCCACCCTGACACACTTGTGACGGACACAGGAAGACTTCATCTGTATCGGATCTGCAAATTGCACAGGGTGGGTTATCCCTTCAGGCTACCAGCCTACCCCCTGGATCAGTGTGGGAGCAGCCTTCCCCACCAGCCTTGGCTCTGAGCGGTCAAGGGGGTGTCCTATGAGGGTGAGCAGCGGCCTTTCTTAAGTCAGCTCCAGAGCTGCTTTGAGTGGGGATCCCGGCTCAGTGGTAGATAAACCCCATGCTTTGCATGCAGACAACCTCAAATCCAATCTCCAGGAGCAGGTGATGGGAAAGGCTTCTCCTGCCAGAGAACTGCTGCCAGTCAGAGTGGATGGTACTGGGCTGGCTGGACAACTAGTCTGATAAGATAAAAGGCAGCTTCCTGCATTGTGGGGGAATAATGTGTTTCCCAGTGGAGGCTGTTCCATTAGAGCAAAGGGGCACTGTGCTGCCAGCTTCAGTCTGCTCTCACCCAGCCAACAAATGCCTGCCTTCTTAACTTCCATACAGTCCAAGGGGTGGCGCAGTCTTTAGAGCTTTCACGTCCTCCTCTTTGCTTTCTGTGTGATCATTGTAAAACTCAGCAGGGAGAGGAATGGGGACAAAAGTAGAATTTGTTGGCTCTGCCTATCACTGGCTGTGGCTCTACTCACTGTTGGGCTCCCTGCCTTCTGCCCTGCCAGTTCCAACGGGCACCAGCTACCCCTTGTGCCGCCACTCCTTCCCCCTCTTGCCTCTCTCCCTACAACTAGGAACCAGGTTTGGAGAGGATGGAACGGTGCTGAGCATTGACTTCTTCTTCACCCCAAGCACAGCACATTGGGTGGGGTGCATTCCTTCTGTGTCCTCGGTGCCTGTGCTCAGTTTGAGGAAAGGCAGGTAAGTACAGCCAGGTTTAGGGCAGGAGGCCCTGGTCAGGACTTGCGCTCTTAACTGAGATAATGCCTCTGTAAGAGGTGGGTAGAATGAGATGTTTAATATGCAAAGCAGGGGATTAACCCATTTCCCCCACTGTGAATGCAACTGTCATCGGAAAATAGGGAATCCCGACTCTGGATGTGAATACTATGCTGTCGACACAGAAAACAGGGTTTGTCCATATTTCCTGCTTTTGCACATCTCATAAATGTCCGAAGCAGATCTGTGTGCACACAGTGCTTTGTACATTAAGAATTGGTGTGAATACAGGAATTACGACTTGCTCACTGGCTCCTCAGTTGGTGCATACTGTTAATGTATGCAAGCGAAGTAGATAATGCTTATGGGGCAGTAGCTAACCAGGGTTAATTATACCAGGTGAGGTTTAAGGCAGAGCTTTCCAAACTTTTCATGTTGGTGGTGACACTCTTTAGACATGCATCATTTCCCGACACAGTAAATCAGTTTTACTAGCAAACCGGAGGTTAAACTAAACCCTTTGCAGCCCTAGGAGGAGTGCGGGGAGCATTCGCACAACACACCTACACACTGCAGCTGACACACCAGGGTGTCACGACACACAGTTTGGAAAGCTCTGGTTTAAGGGTATGATGCTTTGTACGTAGAACTTTCCTGTTTCCCAGTCTTCAGTATATTCCCCCACCCACCCAGCCTTGTATGGCTTGGAGTTCCCTAGAATGCCCACTTTTCCTCTTCCTCTTCCTGGGCTAGTGATTCCTATTTCATTCTGTATTAGCAACCTGAAACATTTCCAGCACAATTCTGTATGTGTTTGCTTGGAAGCAGTGGAGGCTGGTCCATTAGGGCAAATGGCTAGAGCTCCATTGGCTGGGAATTCCAAAGTGTAGGTGCTGCCACACTAAAATATCAATTTCGTGCAAGCACATTATGGGTATTATATGGAACATGTGACAGTGCCAATTCCACAGTTGCCAGCGGTTGAGTGGGCATACATGGGGTACAGCAATCTCACAGGTAAAATGGCCCCAAGTTGTTCAGTTCCTTATATACTAATAGCAACACCTTCAACTTGGCAACCACTGCAGATCTCCGCGCACAGGTATTATTTACTGAAAGGGTCTCGCTCCCATAAGAAATGACAGAGATATGTGACCCAAACAAAAACTGTTGCATGAGGATAACATCCTAGCTCTTCCCAAGTGGGTTTGGGATAAATGAAGAAAACTGGACAACATATGGAGAACATACCACCCCATTTTAAGGGAATTTGTGTCCTGTATTCCAGAAGCAGACATTCTGTAGACCGTAATGGTGGATGTTTATTTTGGAATACCTAGCTGCATCTCATCTGGTTGTGCAGGTATTCATCTTGGCAATGTGTGTGCCTTGCTATATTTGAAATTTTGATTTTTGCCACATTAGTTTCCAAGCAGATTAGAGCCTGCCTGACTCAGGAAAGGACTGAGAGCCATGAGTAGCTCAGCTATTCTCCTGCCTCGGGAGCTCCTGTTAGTCAGTCCCTGAGGGTTGAAGTGCCGTTGTCTGTTTTTACCTGGCTGTCTTCACAGCACAGGGGGGAAGCAGCAGAGGTGGGGAGATGGATGGGTAAGGGGATTTGCCGGAGACAGCCTGGCTCCTGCTCAGAACCCTCCATTGCACAGTGGGGAAACCTCCTGAGGAATCCCCAAGCTGGCTAGCTAGCTTCTGGTTGCACCCTTGAGCATTATTGGGGGGGGGGCACTACACCGCAATACGGCAGTAAGGAGCTTTCTTGGGACGTTAACCTCAGATTTTGTTACATGCTGCCTACAGCAGGAGCACAGAGCCATCATAGACAGAACTGAGCAGAAGCACGGAAGCTGCTTTTTAATGGTTAGGGTGGCAGTGAACACCATATATATGTGGCCAACGTTTTGGAGGAGAGACAGCTTAACTTTGTCAGGGCTTCTTCACCATATTGATGGCATTTGGTCATACCGATCAGCCAAGGCTGTTGGCTTAATAAACCATAATGTGCTTGGGCTGCAGCATGCAACCCATTCTCCTCTCCCCTCCTAGTGCAAGCAGGCAAGCAAATCAGGAAGGAGATAGCTGAATGCTGTACCTGCTGCTCATGTGATGAAATCTGGGGTGGTATCGTGGCACAGAGTGCTTTCCTGCCGTTTGAAACGTAGTGCAACATTGTTATTAATTAATTACATTGACATACCAGGTTTTTGTTGTGGTTGCTGCACTACACTGTTGACTCAGGTTAAGCTTGTGGCCTACTAAGACCCCAAGATCCTTTTCAAATGCACTCTGGGCAATCCAGGTGCTCCCCATCTTATACTTGTGCTTATACTTCCAGCCTGAGTTCAGAACCTTACATTTGTCCCTGTTGAAATTCACTTTGTTAGTTTTTGGCCCAGTTCTTCATTCTGTTAAGGTCATCTTGAATCCCGATTCTGTCTTCCGCGGCATTAGCTACCCCTCCCAGTTTGTTGTCATCTGCAAATTTGATGAGCATCACTTCAATTCCTTCATCCATTTATAAAGTCTTTGAACAACAAGCCCAGGACAGAACCCCACGGCACCCCACTTGTCACTCTACCCCCCAGGATGACAAGGAAGTGAGCACTCTTTGGGTTTGGCCAGCCAGCCAGCCAGCTGCAGCTTCCTGCGTTGCTATGACAACATTAAGCAAGATGGACCAATAGTCTGATCTGGCATCAGGCAGCTTCTTACGCACCTTAGAAGGGAGTGGATGTATGGAGTGGGGGAAATGCCCAAGCTGCTTCCTTGGTCAGCCCCACAAGAGCAAGGACAGAAATGATTTCTCTGCTTCCAATGATCTGAGCTGAAAACGGGAAGGTCAGCAGGGGGGAGGGGCGGGGCACAGATGTGGTGGTGGGGAGAGATGGAGTGGTGGGGGGAGGGCAGTGAACTTCTGAACCTAAAGTCTGGAGATCAGTTCATTACCTTAACACGAGTTAAAAATAAATGTCTCATCTCTTTAAATGAGCCTGTCTGCAATTACGGCTTGGCATGTCTGCTTCAGAGCGTCCTGAGTGCTGGCATCGCTCCAGGTGGCAGGCGGCTTCTAAGAACCCTCTCTCTCTCTCTCTCTCTATTTTTGAAAAACAAAACAAAACAAATCAAAGGTGTCTGCTCAGCTTCTCTGTCTCCATCTCCCTCTGCTTTGCAAGCTTCCCGAGACACTGAGAGTTCTTCAAACGCTGCCTTGAGATCCCCACAGCCCTTCTAATACCACTGCTCAATACAAAAACGTTCCTCTTTTTCCTCCTTAGACCCCTGGAGTGGCTCAGATTACTGCATCCCTCCAAGGGGAAAGGACTAAGGGTAGAGCACTGGCAGCCATCTTTAGCACTATTAAGACTATTCCCCTAGGGTTCCTCCAGACTGGTGAGTCCCCCCTGCCACCCCTGGTGCAATTCTGCAACATCATTGACACAATAACTGTGCTTCAGTGATGGATTGGTACTGGACTGTCCACACACCATTCCGCCTTATTGCTTTTTCTGTGGTACTTCCCCAATGTTGAGGCATTATTTTTATTTAGTTTTATTCATTTGTTAAATTTACATACCGCCCTTCATCACAAGATCTCAGGGTGGTTCACAGAATAAAGATGCAAGATAAAAACACAAGTAAATTATTGCCATCTGGAGGGGCTTTCTTGCTCTAAGGGAGACGGTGAAGCAAAACAAAACCTTGGAACATTTGCGGCATAAAAAGTTACGGGATTTCAGCAAGAAGTTACAGGGTGTGCACTGATTGGATGTCTACCCCAAAACTTCTGCAGATGCAAAACACTGATATGGAAATGGAATCTAGTATAACCACCTCAATGCCATCATGAATGTACCATGAAAAGGATATAGGCCACTGTCTTTTACCCTGAGTAGACCTATTGGAATGAATGGCCGTAACTAGGCAAGGCCCATGGTTTTTAGTGGATCTGCTCTTGAGCAAAAGTTACCTGAATACAATTCAGTGTCTGGAGAGGGCCCTCTAGTTTAAAGCAGCAGAGAAAATGTTCTGGTATATATCCAACCCACTTGAGAACAAGTGGATTACATTAAATAGTAATACCATGCAGCCAGCTGTGGCTTGTGTTTGAACGTAGCCAGGTTGGGGTTGGTTTTTTTTTGTGGTGGTGGTGGGGCTTATCACCCCAGCAGTACTGTAGCATGACAAGCTGCACCTGCTGAAAAATTGTCTTCTGTACAGTCATTATAAGAATGCCACAAGGGCTCTGGTGGTTCAGGGAAGAGGTCCATCTGGCCCAGCATTCTGTTCTTAACAGTGGCCAAGCTGATGCCTATGGGAACCCAAGCACCTTCTACCCATTGCATCTGGTCACATGAAAGGACAAGGGCAAGATGGAGAAGGCATGGCAGGTTGTTGTCCACCAGGGTCAACTTTAGAGAGTGGCGAGGTTGGGCATTGGCCGAGTCAAGCAGAAGGACCATTGCCCTAACAGTGCTACCATGAAATATCTGAGAAGATCAGATGCAGCCAAAGCATGCATGTTTTGCCTTGTTCATGATGTGGGGTGGGTGAGTGGGCTCTGATGGTGCTGTGCCTGAGGACCCCAACATCCTGGAGACAGCAGTTTTGCCCATGCATGCTGGTGGTATGTAGGCATGGGTTTAGATCTGTCTACTTTTCAGTCATAATACTCAGGGTGGCCTCTGATAGCCACTAACTTAGGTTGCCTCTAAATGAATCATATATCAAGCAATTGTCCTCTTCTTGTGTGCATGTGTTTTACAGTAATTTGGCTAGAGGTTATGCAGTAAGGCAGCTGGAGGAAGAGAGGTGTACAGAGACCAGAGAATGAACTGTAAGTGGAGGGCTGTCCTCTTTGCCACCCTTTGGACCCCCTAGGAAACTCATTAAACCAAGCATGGTGTAGCTTGGAACTGCATGTATGAGAAGCAGCTGAATGAGACACGGTTGTAGGCAGGCAGAAGAAGCTCCAGTGACCTTGGTGTCTGTCCATACAAGTAAGCCTAGTGTGAGACGCTGTTGTGATATCAGCAGGTTCCAGGAACTGCCTTTGTTGTCAGAATTTGGGGGTGATCTGTGGGTTTGTTTGGTCCTTGGGTGAGAGCCACGGTCAATGCAGAGAGTCCTGGGCAAGAGCCAGAAGGCTAAGAGATGTTAAGTGGGGAGTTGTGTCAAAAGAAGATGGACATGCTACCTGTATATATTTATCAGTAATTTGTAGCAATGGTTTCATTGTGTATTTTTGTGACTTTAGTTTTTCATTTTCTGCACACTGCTTAGAGATATGTTTGTGTATGAAACAGTATAGACAAGGTTTAAATAAAATAAATAAGAGATACACTGCTGCTGTCAAGCGGTTGTTACCCTGCACTATCCACTGTGGTTCTTGCTGCAAAAACTCCATTTTTGGAGTGTTGCACAGGAATGAAATTTAGCTGTTGCTAGTTAGCACAATGCACTCACTTTCTTTGCAGTGGGTTATGGAGGTGCACTCCTACTGCATGAAATACATGTACTGGCATCTAAAAGTGCCCTTAGATGGGTTTGCAGTATTACATGGACGATAAGTTTCAATGGCTACACATCATGACGGCTAAATTCTACCTCCAGGATCAAAGCCAGCATACCTCTGGGGCTTATGAGTGGGGGACTGCTGTGGTGCTCATGCCACACTTGTGGGTTTTTCAGAGGCATCTGGCTGGGAAGCAGAAAGCTGGAGTAGGTACACCTTTGGCCCAATCTTGAAATATGTCAGGCTCTAGGCAAACCACTTAATGATTTTTCTGCTGGTTGTAGCAATTGCAATGCACTGTGTAGGATGCTGTATGACCTTTAATTGCATTTTTATTGTTTCTTTTATTTCTTATGTTGTATTACAATTTCAATTCCATAGCATTCAAATTGTAAGTGTTCTTCATGGACATTCCACAGGCCTCTGGTGTTCTGTGGACCAGGATTGGAAACCCAAGGGCCTAATCCAGCAAGGCTGTTGATCAATAAAATTTTTTTGGAAAGGTGACCCAAGTGAAACCTGAAGACCCAGAAGCCAAAACAATTATTTCCAAACAATCATCAGGAATCCCTTATTTTTTAAAGAAGGGGTGACTCGTGGTTTTCAAGTACATGAAGGCACTTAAAGCCACCATGAATCATCCTGGCATTTGGTACTTTAGTAGGGTTCTTGTGCTGCCAGTGCGATTAGCGTGAGGTTGGCGCAGTGGATATGAACTGATAAGTCTGACAGATTTACCAAAGTGAGTCACTTTTGAATTGTGGGCCATTATCTTTTGCAAACGTCTTTGGAATCCTGTAGGGAACAAGCTGGAGGGGGGTGTCATTAAGATGATTATCAGTGTGGTAGCACCCAAAAGGCGTTGGGCACATCGCAGCTTGACAGGAAGCTCTGGTCTCTGCCCCCAGGAGTGGAGCGATTATCTACTTACTTGGCAAGTTTGGCAATAGGTCCCAGTGGAATGAAATGAATAAGGCTTTTCAAATCTACGAATCAAAAGTAAGCATTTTGTTGACGGAGATTATAACCTATAATGCTGCTCTTAAGAACTTTGGCAATTTTTATTTTAAATCTAGCTTCGGAATGATTCACAGGCTGTGGTTTTTACAATTTTCAGCGTTAACAATGTCTTGAAAGGTCTGTTTCTGGGTTAGATATTAAAGAATCAATTCAGGGAAAATGGAATTGCCACCGTGCTGTGGATTCTGAAGCTTTTCACTTAATGTTTGTGAAATCACTGGGGTTCATTGACTCCCTTCCCCTCTCGAGAACCTGGCCCTCATGAGATCATTTAATAAACTAGATTAAGTGGGTGCAGTTGCTCCAGCTAGATAGCTGGGATTAAATTCACCCCAAAACACAGATGCTTTGCTAGTACCTGCTAGCAAAGTTGGCCCTACCATTTGGCAAAGTGACACAGGTGCCTTAGGTGGCAGGTGCTGTGGTAGTGGCAGCAACCACCAGTCCCTCGCCCCGTCTAGGCAGTCAGCTGTGCTGCAAGACAAACCTGTGTGTTCCCCATGGCCTGATATGCTACTTCTGATACTAGGTTACTGCCCTCAGGGGGCTCCTTCTTGTTGCAACCTCTCTTAAGTGTGCAATTGTGAGATTCAGGAGAAGGAGCAAACACCTTTCTTTTTCATCTGTCTGCCTTCTGGGCACTGGTGCAGGCTAGAGTCAAGAGTGCAGCCAGATTGGCAATGGTGGTAACAGCAAGAGGGTAGATCCATTTGGGGGTGGGGGAATCCACTGAGGGGATCTTGCCCCACCCCCTGAAAAAAGCAATAACATTGCTTGTTATAGCAGTGACAAGAAAGGAAGGAAGGGATGTGGCTTAGTGGTAGAACATCTGCTTTGCATGCAGAAGGTTCCAGGTTCAACTGTCTGCATCTCCTGGTAGGGCTGGGAATGTCACTGGTCTGAAACACTGGAGAGCAGTAAACCCCATGTAGATACATTAAAACCAAGATCAAAGCGTTAAAAACATCCCACCCACTTCTAAAAAGGTCTTCCAACAGCGGTGCTTCTAAGGTGTGCTCTCACACACATACCGTATTTTTCCGTGTATGACGCCCCCTATTTTGGGGGACTAAATTTAAAGAAAATTAGGGGAGATGGCCCAAAGTTGTTGAGCTTTTTAAAGAGGGAATTGCACTGGTGGCACCATCACCCCAGCAGGGCCATTGCTGGGGATTAGCAAAGTGGGCAGCCACTCCTCCCACGCCACTGCGGGAAACACCTTCCACAGCAGCATGGGGAGGGGGAGAGTTGCGTGCCCACCAACCAGCCTTCTGGCAGCATGCAGCTTCCCCCTCCCCACTCCACTATCCATGTAAAGGACGACCCCAGTTTTTTGACATGTTTTTTGAGTCAAAAAACCTCATCTAATACACAAAAAAATACAGTATTTTCCACTCAGTGACTGCAGCATCAAGGGAACGTTTGCATGTGTGGAGCAGCCAAAACACCCTAGTTGGAGGTACGATGTTGCCTGACACCGCACTGTTTTTCAAAGGGGGGCGGTTCATCTGTTCAGCTGCCTGCTGTTCATTTGGGGATAAGCCACCGAGTGATGTACTTCCATGTGTGACTCAGACCTGGCCATTGTTCTATAGCATTGACTCTTATTTGGCCCGGGCACTTAATCTATAGCATGCTTAGCACAGAGGTTAATCCTGCCCTAATCCTGATACCTCATACATTAAGTTTGAACTGGCGATCAAAGGCTGCTTTGACACAGGGCTTCTTCCAGATGTCACTGCTCTGAATTAAAACATATTGTGGGAGAGATGAAGGCATGCAAATATCTCGAAGACCTCCGAGTGGTTACAGCAGCCCTGCTCTTTTCCTTACTAGCTAAGCATGCTCACCCTTCGTATATGTTTTAAGACAAAGAATCTGTTTGCAGATCACTTGGATGCTCGTTAATCTCTCTGTTTGAAAAAAGCACGACCTTTTGGAATGCTTCGTGTATTAGATGCTAAAAATTGGCTGAGAGAAGGGGGAAATGCCAAAATGTGGGAGGCACCTGTTTTTCTACCGCAATCTAACTGCTCATGGATGATGGTAGCTGTAGTCCTGCAGCATATGGAAGGTCACAGGTTCCCTGCCCCTGATATAATATTGTCTGCATGCTCACACTCCAGCCATCTCTTTTGATTCTTTGATCCCCTCCCACTTTTCTGCAAAGAAACAGTGGTGTTATGTGAATGCAAGAGAGTAGACTGCTGAAACTAGTTCGGCAAGGACCGTGTGCACGTGTGTAGATGTGAGTGAGTTCTGAGGCTGTGTGAATTCAAGGATTTGGGCTGCCTTGCCTCCTTTCCTCGGACAAAGAATGTGTGCAGAGACTCTGAGGATTAGCAAGCTTGTTAGGGTATGACAGCGTCATAAATTCCTCCCTCCCACCCCCCCCGCCTCCTTTTGAGACTGTCAAACCTACTTGAGTCCCAGAGATGTTAGCTGCTGTTTTATTGCTGCCGTTCTGGAAGCTGCTCCCTCTTCTGCTGCTTTGATTTATCTCTGCACTTTGTACTGATTGGATTAGAAGTTTAAATGCTTAAGAGTGCATAACAATATATTTTTCTTATTAATATTAAAAAATCATTATTGGGTTTTTTTTATTTTTATAGTTCTGCTTCGAACTGAATCCCCCAGTTTGATTTATTCTCTCTCTCAGAGTGGAATTTAATGCTAATAGGAGCAATCATTGCTTTGTTTTGAATCTTTGACTGTTTGGAAAACTTTCGCTGCAAAGGGAAATTACGGCATTATTAAGAGTCCATTAAAAGAGGGTTTGCCTGGCGTTGCCAGCGATTACCTGCAAGGCAGAGGCAGAGCCAAAAAGCAAAGACAAAGAACTTGTTTTTCAGGGGCCTTGTTCCACATCCTTCATTGGCTGTAATGTAATTATCACAGCAGTTATTATAATCAAGTCTATTATATTACAGGTATTAATTGCAGGTCCCATTGGCAAAATTTCTTGTGGGACACCAGGCTAATAATGAGTGTAAATCACTGTGGAGCATGATTCTTTTGTGTTAACCTACAGATCAGGTGTCTGTGTAGCTCCTTCTGATTAAGTGAGGGCCAATAACAAGAGTCTAGTTAAAACACCCTCCTCTCCCCCACGTCAACAGCCCTAAGCTCCAAACCTGATGCCTTTGCAGCATTCCAGTGGGGCGTCTGATGCAGGCTCTGGCTGATAGCTCTCCTGCGAATTGAAATGGCAAGATAGTTTATGCACACCTGTCGCCATTACGGCAGTCTACACAGGCATTTTTCCTTTATATTTTCAAATTTCATTTGGGGGGAAATCAAGGCAAGGCATGTCCCCCTCAACAATTGTTTGGTCTTTGGGAGTTCTTCTTCTTCTTTGGCGATCACTCGTAGCTGAGTAAGACTGTCTTCCATAAACACGGTTTTAACAATGAGTCTGTAAGTGACTGTGGAGGCCAATTCTGGAACCACACGTCCTTCCACAGTGGGGACATTGGCTGATCACGGTGTGGATTTGCCAAGCGTGCCTTCCTCTAAGCTCGTTTCTCCCTTGTGTCCTGAGTTTGAGTGTCTTCAAAACCCATGACGCCTTTGGTAAATACCTACAACTTTGGGGATACCTACAAATTCACCTCTGTATGAGCCTTTCATTGGACAACTAGATCAGGGGGGCGTTATGCTGGTTATAGGTCCCTTGAGCAAGGCATGATAAGTGGCAGTGATGCTAGCAGGATTCTGGACAGATGTTGTTGAGCTCTACCCAGCAGAGAAAGCAGAAGGCCCCAGAACCCAAGTGGGTGGGCTTACCCGCCTTTTGAAGTCAGTGAAATAATTCACATTACTCTCCGTAAAATCATTAAGTCCAGAGTCTACAGTCATCTGACGGCAACCACTGGTCTGGTGTCTTCACTAAGTCATTGGCATTCTCAATGAATTTCTCTTCACATTGAAAGTCGAACCTACCTTCTCCAAAACAATATGCAAACTGAAACACAGACCATCTTTCAAAATCCTGGCTCACCAATGCAGTCCTCTGGACAGGGGAATAATGTGTGCGTAAAAATGCCTATAGTGTGAAAATCATACGACACATTGCATTTGGGACATTTGGTTTGCAGAAATGGGTACCGTTTGCAAAATTGCAGAGGAAAAATATGTTATAATAGGGAGAAATGCACACTAAAATGCTAATGAATTTTCATAAGAACTTCTCTCTCTTCAAAAAATGGCAATCTTATGTGGAAATGTGGGGAACTGAACTTTAATTTGGAATATTGATAAATGGAGAAGAACCTGAAATTGACTGATTCGCCCATCCTTATGCAAGTTGCTATCTAAAGAGAGCCCCTGAAAGACCCAGAGTCTAAAATCTAAGTGCACCACTGATCTGTGTGCCTATCTCCCGCAGCATGGGGCTGCTTCCTGCAGAGGGAGGGCCCATTTTCTCCTTGCTCCCAGCTCCTCCTCCTCTCATTTGCCAGGGAACATGCTGGTGTGCAGTTGAGCGAGGAGAAGGTAGTTTTTTCTTAATGCTGTCCTTTTCTTACTTGCTGCCTCTAGGCAGAAGGGGAAGGATGGGCAAGCAAGCAAGTAGCAACAGAGAGGAGGAAGAGGAGGAAGAGAAACAGCAGCAAAGGGTTATGGGCAACTTGGCACCCACAGTGGTCCCTTTTGGAATGTGAGCAGGTGTCTGGCCATGCCAGTTATGGCTGGATAAACTCCATTTCCAATCTTTTATCACTCTTGGATCATCAGGTGTTGGAAGGTGAATTACTCTCATGGCTAGTGCCTACTAGGTCAGCTAGCAAGGTAGGGATGAAGGAATCTTGTCAGTTTCATTCAATTTTCTCATTTGTTCCAGACTTAAATTCTGTTCACCACATTTCTGCATCAGTTTGCATTAAAAAAATAATGAAAATTTGTCAGCGTTTTAGTACACATTGGTCCCGATATACACATTTTCCTCCCAAGAGATCCCCCCCGCCCTAATATGCCGCAGTTTTTGGTGTTATTTCCACTAAAACATGCATTTTAATGCACTTCCCCCTCCCTCTAACATATGCATTTTGTACGTTTTCCCTTTTTGATTGGAAAATTGCAGCATACAATTTAGAGAAGTGCAAATTTCAAAGGACAGCTGTTCATGTATCATATGGGGAAGTGTGAATTTGGTAGGTTAGCAATCCAAACCAATTTTGCCCCCCACCGCTAGCAGATGTAGCGGTATGGCATGCTCTTTGCTCAGGACGCCATCCGCTCCATTCCCTCTCCCCTAGGTTTTCTAACCTTTCTCCACTCCCCATAGTCAGCCAGCACTTCATGCCCACTGAACATTCTCAGTCCTCATTGAGAGATTATCCCCCAATAACTTTTGTGCTTCTGCAAACCGTAGGGTTCCCCTGAGACTGCTGATGACTCCGCCTGGTGCATGGATGGTGCTGTTTTGGCTACATAAGAACTTGCATTTGGAAAATTCAGGCTGCTGTGAATATACGATGATAACGAAGGATGTGCAACATTTCACTGCTCCTTCTGTTATATTTGCACATTTATCAATACTCTTTTGTTGGGAAAGTGTTTATTTATTTACAGTACTACGACGTGAGTCCCTGTCCTCAGGCTCACAAAGACACAGCACACGAGGAAAAGGAAATGGGAGGGAGAAGAGGGAAAGCAAACTCAAGTACATATTCAGCGGTGGTTTTGGCTGTCTTGCCCTTGAAAAAGAGCACTTTCCCTCTAAGATCAGATCCAGGTGACAATGTCCAAGTCAGGAGGACAGGTCAGAGCTCCCTTAGAGCTCCTCTGGTCATTTCTCTTCCCACCACTAATAACCAAAGTTGTTCCTGTTGTTCTCCAGAACTGATAGTGAGCTTTCATTTCACCATTTGGGCTATTGGGAGCCTTCTTTGGCATTTCACACACTTTGGCTAATGAGAAGTGACCACCTTGCCTTGTGGATCTCCCAGCTTTGAATCCACAGCCCAGCAGCTCAGCAGGGCCATTTTCAGGTCAGGCACGACTCCTGTCTTTATTGCTTGATTGTTTGAAAGCAGACATGAAGACATTTCTGCCCAGGGTAAAAGCATTGTGATTGTTTAAAATGAATTGAGCAAATCTCATAAACTGGAGCTTAACCCCACCCCCAGCCTGCTGAGCTGTTGCCTTTTCAAAAGTGAGTAGTCATTTAGAGAAACCATAAGCTTCTGTGGATTCATAAGAAGACCTCCATGTTCATCAGGGAAGAGTAATCCAAGGCCTCTTCATATGTTAACATTAAAAATAATAATAAAATGTCAGATTATAGGACTTACTTCAGGGACCGGAAACCTTAGAACTGGGGGTCAAATGCAGTCCTCCAAACTTTTCTATCTGACCTCTGTGACACCCGACCAAGCCACAAACCCTCCTGAGCCACACCTCTCACCTCACCTCCTTGCTTTGCACCCTCCTTAAATGCTTTTGCTTGGCTGGAATGCGTCCTTGAACTCTGATAATGCTTTTTGATTGTGTGGATTGTGTGGATAGAGAGGGGCAGATACGGGTGGCGCTGTGGTCTAAATCACTGAGCCTCTTGGGCTTGCCGATTAGAAAGTTGGCAGTTCGAATCCCTGTGACGGAATGAGCTCCTGTTGCTCTCCCCCAGCTCCTGCCAACCTAGCAGTTCGAAAGCACGCCAGTGCAAGTAGATAAATAGGTACCACTGTGGCAGAAAGGTAAATGGCATTTCCGTGTGCTCTGGTTTCCATCACAGTGTTCCGTTGTGCCAGAAGCCGTTTGATCATGCTGGCCACATGACCTGGAGAGTTGTCTGTGGACAAATGCCGGCTCCCTTGGCCTGAAAGCGAGATGAGGACTGCAACCTCATATCACCTTTGGATGGACTTAACCGTCCAGGGGTCCTTTACCTTATACCTTAGAGAGGGGTGCACAAGTGTGAGTAGAAACTACTGTTCATAGGTAAAATTCAGATTTTTTGCTCTGCCCATTTTTGCCTCTGGCCCCACTCATCCCTGGCATGTGGCCCCTGGAACATTGCCCAGAAGTGAATGTGGCCTTCATCTGACCAAAGGCCAATTCTGAACTCTTTTTAGCAGGCAAGTGAGAATTTTCTTGCACAGATAATTTTTCAAGGGCATTATATATCATAGAATCATGGACTTATAGAGTTGGAAAGGACCACAAGCCTCATCTAGTCCAATGCCCTGCAATACAGAAATATTTTTGCCCAACGTGAGGCTCAAACCCACAAACCTGAGATTAAGAGTCTCATGCTCTATGGTCTGAGCTATCCACTTCATTTTATAATGTGTGGTTGTTTCTTGCTGGTATTTTGCTGCTGTTTTCATTCTTATTTGAATTATTATTATAAATAATATTGCTGCTGCTGTTGCATTAGATCTTTCTGGATTTTGTTAACTGTGTGAAGCCTCTACACATAGAAGAAAGGCAGGATATCCCTCTGTGTAGGAAACACTCATTTTTATTTTATTTATAAAATTTGCATCGCACCCTTCATTCTGAAAAGGATCATAGGACAGATCACAGCATGGTATGCAATACCCATAAAAAAAATCCATTAAGTTAAATTCACAGAATCACAATTCAGCTTAAAAACATCAGTGACCTCCTTACCATTGATCTGTCCCTGTTCATGAACTAGGCCCATCCTGCTGACTCAAAAAGGCTTGGCAGAAGAGGAATATTTTCAGCTTGCACTGAAAATCGCAAGTATATTGTAATGCATGAACTGTAGCATGGTATGCACCAGTGGTTTCAGGATCTGTAAGCCCACACAGATGAGAAGCACAGCCTCTTCATATGTGAAGGGATGCCTTCTTCTTCCATGCAGGGATGTCAAAAGAATTCCAATGGAAACTGCAATGGGAGTGGAAATTGCCCATGTTTGCTTCTTCGTCCCATGCCCAGAAATGGACATCAAACCAGCGAATGCAATTGGTATTCATGGTTGTTTTTGTCAGTCCAAAATTATACGTAGCTGATAATGATCCACCTCCCCCATTTGCATTGAAGTGAATGGTGTGGAATAACACAGTGGTAGTGTTGTTAATTGTGCGAAATTTCACCATGACCGACAGTGAGATGAATAATGCCATTTTTGTTGGAAGCTGAACTGCAGCGGATGGAAACGGTGCTGTGTGTGACATATGTCGATTGGGACAGAAATTGATGTCTTCTTACATCCCCACTCCTGTGTGACATTGCCCCTTTCTTAAGACCATTGCTCCGGTTCCCCCCACTTTGTAGGAGTGTCTGTCAGAAAGAGAGCACCCAGACTTTAGAATGCCCTCCCCAGAGATACTTGTCTGGCACCTAGGCTCATATCTTTTCAGCTCCAACTAAAAGCCATGTTGTTCTCTGACAAGCAGTTGGTGAGTCATAGCAGAGCCAGTGTTGCATTGCAGTGCATGGGTTGGGCTAGGGTTAGCTAGATTTGGGTGCTGTAAATCATTCGGCTATGGAAGCATAGAGTGACTTTGGATCGGTTACTGTCTCTCAGCCTAACAGGATTGTTGGGAGGATGAACCAAGAAAACAGCAAAAAAAGGTACAATATGGCCTCTTGGTCACTTGTTGCCAGCCTGTTTTGCTGCTGTTGGCTCAATCACTCACTGTTGGGGATGAAATATATAAAATTAAATTAAAAAATTGTCCTGCAGCACCTTAGAGACCAACTAAGTTTGTTCTTGGTATGTGCTTTCGTGTGCATGCACACTTCTTCAGATACACTGAAACAGAAGTCACCAGACCCTTATACAGTGATATCTTGGGTTACGAACTTAATTCGTCCCGGAGGTCCGTTCTTAATCTGAAACCGTTCCTAACCTGAGGTACCACTTTAGCTAATGGGGCCTCCCGCGCCGCCTCCCGCGATTTCTGTTCTCATTCTGGGGCAAAGTTCTCAACCCGAGGGACTACTTCCGGGTTAGCGGAATTTGTAACCCGAAGTGTTTGTAACCTGAAGCGTCTGTAACCCAAGGTAACACTGTATATAGTGGGAGGGTGGGGTGGGGTTTTTCTCAGGAGGGTAGTAGGAGATGGGTGATTGACTCAGTGGGTATGGTAAACCTGTTGACAACTGTTAACAACTGCAATTAGTCCTACAGGAAAAAGCAAGGGATAGTATGCAGATGATTAGAATATGTAATGTCAGGGATGGTGCAAGTTGTGGCCCAAAAACATCTGAGTCCAGAGGAAGGCCGGCAGATCAAGTCCTATATGGAAAGTTTGAAGGAGTTGGATATGTTTAGCCTGAAGGAGATATGGTTAAGCAGAAGCAGCTCACTCAGTGGGGTGGTCGTGTGTGTGCACTGTGTTGAATTTCTCATTTTCTTGCGTTTCAGAGGGGTTTGAAAGAGAATTAGGCAAATTAATGGAGGATGGGGCTGTCAGTGCCTACTATGGTCAGAGGTAGTATCTGCCTGAATGCCCATTGCTGGGAATGACAAATGTGGGCTTCCTACGAGTGTCTGGCTGGTCACTGTGAGAGTTGGGTGCTGGGTTAGATGGTCCATTGACCCGATCCAGTAGCCCGTTCTTATGTTATTCAGTTAAGGTTGCTTCCTCTCCAAGTTCTACAGCATCTTGATTCAGAGATGATAATAATCCCTTGATGCAGAGGTGATAACAATCCTCCCTTCTCCGCAATGCTGGATAGAAAACAAGCTGTGCTTGCTGATTTCTGCAGACCAAACTTGTTTTAATGGCACGGGGCATTTCCTCGTTCTTCGATCAACAGCAGGAAACTTTGTGCAATGTTTTTGCATGGCAAACTTGCTGCTGAGGGTGGCAGAGGAGCAGAGCCATTGAAAAAAAACAACAACACCCCATCACACGGCAACCTTCGCACTCTCTCCATGCTTCTTTCAAATCCCTTGCTTGTGAGCAACAGCTGTGCCTCTTTGGGGAGGCAGGGTCTTTGGGGAGACGTTTGCACCTGACTCCCTCCTCCTGAAGCAGCACCTGCCTGCTCTGTAGAAAAGGGTTGGGAGACCAGCAACGTTGCCACCTGCTCCATCTCTCCAAAGGCTACCCCTGAGAGGCACAGCACAGCCTCCTCCTCCTCCTCCTCCCTCCTTTCACCAATAAGCCTTGGCTGGCAATCATATGACCCAAGTACGGCTGTGGCGTCTTTGAACTCTGCTAATTTGCTCTCCTAATCCTCCCAGTCTCGGTAGATCTGACAGGCGCTGGGCCTTCCAGCACAGCAGGGAAGGAGAACCACAGTGTGGGGCGTTTGGATGAGGGAGGGGGGAGAAGGTGGCGGGGGGGGGAGGGAGACAGACTTTGCAAGATTGTGATTTGCGAACCTTTCTTCTCTCCCTTGTGTGTGTGTGTGGATTCCTCCGGTCCCCCCTGGCCTACTCACGACCTCGTTCCTGTGCCGCTAGCAGCCAAGCCTTCCTTCGCACGCAAGGCTGCCCCAGATAGCTGGCTGGCTGGCTGGGGCTGGCGGACGGCTTGCAGTTGCAGACATGCTGCCTGGCTGCTCTTTGGCAGCTCCCTGCCTGCTTCGCCTGCCCCGGGTGTGCGAAGGAACTCTCTGGGCCCAGCTGCTGCCAAGACGGAAACGAGGCTTATGTGCTCTGTTAAAAGAGAAAGAGCGGAGGGGGGCGGCGGCAGCGGCGGCGGCCCAAAGGCCTGGGAACACACGTAACGGAGCATGCATGGGAGTAAGATGTGTGGAGCGCATGGAGTAGGCACATGAAGCTGGGGAATGCTTGGAGCTGAGTTTTCCAACGTCACAGAAGTTGGTCTCCTTAGCAGCTCAGTTTGCGCCTGGTCAGAGTCAGGCCTTGTGTGTGTGTGTGTGTGTGTGTGGCTGCTGCCACTTGCAAGTGGAGAACTCCAGGGTGGGGTGAATTCATGTGCATCAGGGGTGTGGTGCAGGATGTGAGTGTGGTTTGGGGTTTCACATTTGCCGGATCTATAGAACTAGGAAAGGATTAGATAAATGCTTCTGTGGAGAATCACGCCGCTGTTGTAGTCTGATGACAAACCACTAAGCGACATAGGCTTGATATCTTCACTCTTTCCCAGGGGTGGGTGGGGTGGTGGGTACAGGGTTGTACCCAGAGTAGTGCTAATTAACTTGTTCCATCAGCGCAAGGATTTAAGTTTGCACCATGCGACACCCCCCCTTCTCCATGTGCCCCCCTTCCCTTCCCGCCCCTGTTCTGCCCTGTTAGCGACGTTTTCAGGTCACTTCCAGGTTTGGCACTGTGCGAGTGATAGTGCATCAGTCGGAGGCGTGTCAACCAGCCATTGCCTGTAATATGGAGTTCTGTGCATATGCGAAGAGCAACATTTCCACAGATGAGAATAAGGTCATGCTTGTGACCTCTGCATTCTTATATTAAATATCGTCATCTGAGCAACACCTCCACAGTGGGTATCGCAGAAGCCTCTTTGGAACCTTCTATGTTCAGTGCGATGATTTGTACATACAATGGTTTCAGGGCTGTTATACATAACTCCCCTTTAAATACCATATACACCTGCAGATGCTTTGGGGCATACATACCACTTCCTGCTTACTTCCTGTAACTTTATATCACAAATGGTATAGGGACATAGAAGAATAGAGTGTACCAGATCAGGTGATTCACCACTGCTGTCTATGCTGGCAGGGAGCTGCTTTTCAGGTAATATAAGCATTTATATGCACACTTCCCACTAGTGTGTGCATTTTGGCTGGAGAAGCTACATTGCAAAATTCAGAAAAGTGCAGTTTTGTTTGTTTGTTTGTTTACTTGCGCCTTGTTTCAGAAAGTGTGAATTAGTTAGGTTCACCTTTAACTGCTGAGTGAGAAGGAGATTCTCAAGCTGGATTGTGTGCAGAGGAGGATGGCCAAGATAATGAAGGGTCTAGGAACCAAGCCTTATGAGGAACAGTTGAGGGAGCTGAGTATGTTTAGACTGGAGAAGAGAAGACTGAGAAAGGCATCTTCAAATATCTGAAGGGCTGTCAGATGGAGGATGGAGCTGTTGTTTTCTGTTGCTCCAGAGGGTGGGACCCGGACCAATGGATTAAAGTTACAAGAAAGGAAATCTGGACTAAACATCAGGAAGGACTTTTTGATAGTAAGAGCTGTTCAACAGTGGAACAGGCTACCTTCATTGGAGGTTTTAAAGCAGAGGTCAGATGGCCATCTGGCAGGGATTCTTTAGCTGTGATCCCTGCATTGCACAGGGTTGGACTAGATGACTCTTGGTGTCCCTTCCATCCCCACAATTCTATGCTTCTAAACCTCTCCGTCATCCTTACATACGA